CATGTGTATGATGTATTAAGCACTATTTTTAAGTTAACATATATATTACACTTTTTCTGTTGATGTAAATTTCATTATTTAATTTTATGTTATTTTCTTAAAATACATATAATTTTATTGTAGCTCTTGATTTCTAACTTTTATAATGAAATAAAAAGCTTTCTTATTCCTTTAAATAATAGTTCTATTACATGATATATCGTTTCGCATTTACGTTTTTGTTGTTCATTTCTTATAATAACATTTAACTTTTGTTTGATCTTTAAAATAAATCTATTATAATTTCATTTAACTATATTAAATAATTCTTTAATTTCCATTTATTAAATATAAGACTTAACAACTTATATTTTTTGCTAAAGGAATTTAATTATATATCAATTTATTTGATATTTTCGTTTTTAAATAAATTTTACGATACAATTTAACCAAATTAAAGATATATAAAATAGATAAGTATAACCAAAGTTGTTAAACATGATACTCCCTCCGTTCTAAGAGATAAAAACTTTACAAAAAAAAAATTGTTTCTCCTCCTTGTACTCTTTGCATTAGGGGATGATTGGTAAATTGACTTTAAAAACTACGAAAGCATTTTAAAACATTTAAAAACTACGGATTTTTTTGTTTGCTTGTTCATGTTATGCTTTTTTTTATTAAAGTTTTTGTGATTTTTTTATTTTAAAATCACAGCTATCTATGTAAAAGACAAAAAAAACTAAATATTTTTTATATGATATTGTTGGATTTGATAGATAAAATATATATTTTCTATACTAAATTTAGTAGTAATTTACATAAAAATGACATTAATGTACACAAAAAAAATTAATTGTAACTTGATAGAATTAATTTACATAAAAATTAACTATTAAACTGTTAGAATTAATTGTTAAAATTATAAAAAGACACTTAATTTTTTTTTCTTTCAATAAATAAATTAAAAATAAAAATGTCAAAATATTAGATGACAAATGATAATTTCTTAAATTTATTTTATAAGATATACATGGCCATTAAACATTATTAGTATACCATTAAATATATACAAATTTAAATTTATTTTAATTTTTGAAAAATCGGATACATGTTAAAAGAGTAGTTGTGACATGGCAGTTTCTACTATCTTTAATTTTGAAAAATCTTAAAATATTATATAAGATTGTATGTTTTTGTTTAGCCACAAAATTTAGCCGTAAATTAGCGTTGGAGAATTTATGTCACCAAATTTAACAATTTTGTTTTTATTAAATATTCTAATCAATCACGCTACAAAAGAAATGTCATAAAAAATCTGTGGCTAAACTATTTTCAACCACTCCACTAAATAAGTGGAACCTCATTCAAAAACTGCCACGAAAACATTCCCACCAAAAACAAAATATATATAAGTAACTCACTAAACTTATTATAATTATTGGAGACTAATAAGATAATTTATAATATATTGAGCACTCCCTCCACCTTGTGCTCCCCACTACAACCCAAAAAAAAAAATGTTACAATAACTAAGCATATAGCATTAACGTTGTGCTATATATATACAAATCTATCATCAAACCAAATATTCACAACATACAATATAAACCGTTGACAAAGATACAAAAAAATGGGAAGTGGAATGATAACGACAGTGGTTATAGCCCTAGCTTTCTTCATGATCAGTTCCGACAATTTCCACGTGGCGACAGCTCAGGTCTGTGGAGCTTACCTGTATGGACTGGTAAATGAGTGTCAACGTTACGTCGACAACGGCGGACATTATCCACCACCGCCTCGATCTTGTTGTGCTTTGATTCTTCCCATCGACGTAACTTGCGCTTGCCGCTACATTTCAAGGGATGTTATGAACCATATTAATATGGACAGAGTCGTTTACGTTGCTCGTTCTTGTGGCAAGTATCTTCCCTCGGGTTATAAATGTGGAAGTAA